GCCCAGTGACCCTACACTCAACGCCCTGCTGTCGAGGATGGCAGCCCTGGAGGACAAGATCTCCAGGCTCACGCTGGAGAGGCCAACTAATCTGCATCGGAGTGGAGATGGTGACACCAAGCGGTGCTATGTGTGCGACAGCACAATGCATTTCGCACCTGACTGTCCGCACCAGAGATACACACCGGCTAACCGTGGTGGTCACCGGGGTCGTGGACGCGGTCGGGGAAACTGAGCGTCGCTGACAGCCAGGGTCCGCCGTCAGCAACCTCCCCAATGGACCCATGTACCGGTAAGCAGAGTGAACCGTGTTCGGTGTGTCATGAGGCTGTCTGCTTACCTACTGAGACAACTTGTCAGGCCTGCACAACTACTCCAGCCGAGTGTCCAGACAGCTCGATTGTCCTGCCTCTGTCGTGTCTTGCAACACAGTCCGACAGCACGGTGCAGATCCAAGGCACGGTCGAGGCTGTACCAGCCAACATGCTTGTGGACACCGGCAGTTGCGTAACGTTGTTGAGCACCAGCTTTGCTAAGTCTCTCTCTCATCACAATGTTCATTTATCTATCTCACCCGTTAATACTGTTCTTAAAGCGGTAAATAATTCTTCTGTCCCTGTGCTCGGGGAAGCTGTCGTATTGTTAGCAACTGGCAAGCTTGCTGTACGCCACAGAGTCATTGTTGCTGACATTATGCCCGATGTGCTAATCGGCATTGACTTCTTGCAATCTCATGGCTGCACAATTGATTTCGGTCGCAACATGCTCGATGCAGGCGGTGTCGATGTACCCCTAGAGCCCACCCATAATGCTAATCCTGTAGTCTGCCGTGTTCATCTTGCTAATTCGGTTACTGTACCAGCGTATACACAAGTCATTGTTCAAGCTCAGCTGCGTACCGATGATAATCATTTACCTAGCTCTGCTGGTTTTGTTTCACCCTCAGAGAAGTTTATTTCCAAGTTTAGCACTGCTATGTCACGTGTGGTGGCTACTCCTGACTCTGCTGGCCGTGTTTGGATTCGCCTACAAAATTTTCTTCCTCATTCCACAACTGTCCCGAAGAATTATCAAATTGCTGAATTTGATTCTGATATTTACATTGACGATGATCTCAATGATTCGCCTACGCATGCTGCCTCTGTTGACGAGCATAGCTGTAGCGCAGTACAGGAAGAGAGCTGCTCACCTTCCGAGCCAGACGATCTATTTGACTTACGTCACCTCGATCCGCAAGCGCAGTCTGCTATAGCTACTGTGCTCAACGACAATGCCGATGTCATCTCGCAGGGACAATTCGACCTTGGGAAGACTGATGTAGTAACACACAACATCCAGACTACATCTGATCAGCCTAAGAGACAGCCACCCCGCCGAATTCCTCTCAGTCAACGAGTCGAGGTAAAGCAGCACGTTGATCAACTGCTTGATCATGAGATTATATCTCCATCCAGAAGCCCTTGGGCTGCTCCGATAGTTGTCGTACGCAAGCCTGACTCTTCTATCCGGCTATGCATCGACTACCGGCAGTTGAACAGTATCACCGAGAAGGATGCCTTTCCCCTTCCTCGTGTGGACGATGCTATCGACGCTATGGCGGGTGCACGCTACTTCTCTACCTTAGATCTCGCAGCTGGCTATTGGCAGGTGGAGATAGATGAAGCTGCCAAAGCTAAGTCGGCGTTTGTGACACCGTTCGGATTATTCGAGTGGAACCGTATGCCGTTCGGCCTGTGTAACGCACCGGCAACTTTTCAACGCCTCATGAACCGGGTCCTTGGTGACCTAGTACCCAATATCTGTCTGGTCTACTTGGACGACATTATCGTGTTCTCATCAACGATTGAGGAACACATGAGTCGTCTGCAAACAATATTCAGTCGTCTTCGTCAAGCTGGCCTCAAGATCAAGCCCAAGAAGTGCTCACTGCTTCAGTCCTCAGTCACGTACCTGGGATTCTTATTCTCAGAGCAAGGTGTGGCACCGGATGCAAGCAAGTTCACGGCTGTTCAAGACTGGTCATCCCCAACATCACTGAAAGAGGTGCGTAGCTTTGTTGGTTTCGCATCGTACTATCGCCGCTTTGTGCCACATTTCTCAGAAATTGTAGAGCCCCTGAACCGTTTGTCCCAGAAGAATGCCACTTTCAACTGGACACATGAGTGTGAACAGGCATTTGCTGAACTGAAGTCCCGACTAGTCAAGTCACCTGTTCTAACATATCCTGATCCTGCAAAGCGCTTCATCCTGGACACTGATGCGTCAGATCTCGCCATGGGAGCTGTTCTCTCGCAAGTCAATAGTCACGGTGAGGAAGTAGTGATTGCCTATGCCAGCAAAGCATTAACGAGATCCCAACGTAACATGGGCAGTACACGCAAGGAGCTGCTTGCTGTTGTCACATTTACTGCACATTTCCGCCATTACCTACTTGGAAATCAGTTCACATTGCGAACTGATCACAAAGCGCTCATCTGGCTACATTCGTTCCGGGAAGTGGACGGTCTTCTAGCCCGGTGGATTGAGCGTTTGGCCGTCTTCGACTACGTCGTCACACATCGGCCCGGGAAGCAGCATGTCAATGCAGACGCCTTGTCAAGACTCCGCTACCACAGCCCGGCTACCGCAACCTCACCGACGCCAACGCCCGAGCAGAGAGTAGGTGAGCAGAATATTGTTGTCAATCACCTGTCTAGCGCTAGTCCTGATAGTAATCCTGTAACAGTCAATGCTGAAGTGTCGCCACCCAATTGGTGTGAGTCTTTCACTGTTGAAGAGTTGCGCAGAGCTCAATTAGAAGATGCAGATGTGAGTACAATGATCGGCTGGCAGGAGGCATTACTTGACAGGCCCCTGCGTAGTGATTCTGCCATGCACGGTGCGTCTATTGCATTGATACGATTATGGAGCCAGTGGAAGCGTCTAAGACTGGTTGATGGAGTGTTGTACCGGGTTTACCACCCCGAGAATAGCGACACACCGTACCTACAATTTGTTGTACCACAGTCTCTGCAATCCCGCATGCTTCAGTCTGTGCATGCTGATGTCTCTGGAAGCCACTTAGGTATTGAGCGAACACAAGACAAGCTTCGCAAGCGGTGTTATTGGCCCTTCATGTCGTCTGCAGTTAGTGAATTTTGCCAAGCATGTGATATTTGTGAGAGCCGCAAAGCACCGCTACCAAAGGCCAAAGCCCCGCTTGTCCAAGACCGCCCATCATTCCCGCTAGAGAAAGTTGCTATTGATATTATGGGCCCACTGCCTACTACGCCTAGCGGTAACAAGTATTTAGTCGTCATTTGTGACTATTTCACTAAGTGGCCAGAAGCGTTTCCTGTACCGAATATTACTGCTGAAACAGTAGCACATGTCCTTGTTGACGGCTTCTTCTGTCGTTATGGTATTCCATACCAGCTGCACTCTGACCGTGGTGCGCAATTTGAGTCGAGGTTATTCCAGCAGATCTGTCAGTTGTTGGATATCAGAAAGTCACGTACAACAGCATACCGGCCCCAGAGTGACGGCTTAGTCGAGAGGATGAATCGCACACTTGAGCAAATGCTGGCTGCTCACGTCGACGACCACCACACCAATTGGGACCGTCATCTGCAACGTTGTCTGCTGGCCTATCGGTCTAGTGTGCACTCCTCGACCAAGGAGACGCCAGCGATGCTCATGTTAGGTCATGAAATACACCTGCCTGTTGATGTGATGTTTCAGTCACCAGACTCTGAGCGCTCCCATGTGAACACGTATGTTATCAACTTACGGCGCAATCTACAACGAGCGTTCACGCATGCCCGTGATGCTGGAGCAACAGCTCAACGACGGCAGAAGGCCCACTATGACAAGCACGCTAAACAACCGAAACTCAACGTTGGTGACATGGTTCGGTTGCATTCTCCTGCCGTCAAACCAGGTACGACTTCCAAGTTCCATCGACCTTGGAAAGGCCCGTACACTGTGCTAGAACGTGTTGACGATGTAGTACTTCGGATAGCTGACAAATCCGGCACGACCCAGACTGTTCACGTTGACCGTCTGAAGGCTTGGACTGGCTCTGATCTGCCTGCAAGTGCCAATGAGCTCGTACCGAACTCGCCTCCGACTTCTATTGCCGACTACATGCCTGATGTTGAGTATAATATGCAACCAGTACCAATCCCGGCTCCAGTGCAGGCGCCACCTGCACCAGTAATTGCTGCTGCGCCGGTGCCGCCACCAGCCGCAGCACTGAATCATGCACCTGTGCCTGTTGTGCACCACTATGATCTGCGGAACCGTGCAAACATTCAGCCGCCAGCAAGGTTTGCTCAGTGAGTGTCTATGACTGTACAGTGTGATTATTGAGAAATTGTACATTCTTAGTTCAGAAATACACATATTTCACACAGTCCTACCTGTTGTTAGGTTAGTATGAATAATGTCGAGCATTTCACTTGCTGTTTCACAGTCCACTTACATAGCATTAGTAGTTTCTAAACTTTCCATTATACCTCACACCGATTAACTACACTTGTACCATACTTGCGCCACACTATTTCACTTTCCAGTATTTAATTTTCTCATGTAGAAAGCTATCACGGATATGCTCTAAGCTTTGTAACTTTCGGTCACTATCGTTCCCTCTGTAACGAGGGGGGAGGTGTAACATGTTGCACATGTTCCGTTTGGCGTAGTAATATTTCCACTCTTGATTGTAGCTATGAATGTGACTCTACTTCATGACATGTATGCATACGTCATTTGTACACACTCACAGGCACACACGCATGCGTATCTTTTCGCTGGCTCGCTCTGTTATGATGCTGGTTTTTCCTTTTGCTTGGAGAGAATGTTTTGGACTTGAGAGTTGCAGTTTTGATCTCAACGTCTTGTCATGGTTGGAACTGGTGCCTGGCTGGGGGCTGGGGAGTTTATGCTCCTGTGAATGTAATTGTAACCTCAGGCCAAGGTTACACATCTACTGCAAGCATACATGTGTATGATTTTGCCTAGACTGTATGCACAACACCTCACTCACAACTTACTCTGTGCTCTCTTCTCAGTAGCGAATCGCCTTGCAAGCGTCTCCAATGTGTCTAGCATTACAGACATCTCGGCATCGCTGCAGACAAAAGCAATACAACAAGACACATGGTTGCAGATCTGAATAGAAGTTTCTTTTCTTGATACCAAGAGTAGATAAACAAGAGTGTGCAACTCCGGATCTCTCCTGCACAATCTGCAGATACCCCTGCCCAAGGCGGATTTTTTTGTTGACGTCACCTTTTTTCAGAAAAACTTGCATTTTGCCGCAGAGCAGTGTGAGGGCGTGTGCTGGGCACCGACCTTGTAATGTTAAGCCGGGCCAAGTGCACAAGGCAAAACTTTCCAACAGACTCGCAGCGCGTGCGTCGTAGAAAAGATGAAGTCAGCAAAAAATTCCGCCGTGGGCCAACCCATCCCGGAGTTGCACACTCTTGTTTATCTACTATTGTTGATACTCATTTCCTCCGAGTCCAGTAAACCCAAGTCACTGTACTTATTTCTACAAGATAGCATCATATCCAGTCCAGCAACAGCACATAGAAGTTGAAGTCTGGTTTGCAACTTAGTTTCAGGGCCATGATACATTTCCAGCTCTGTGCAAGCACAAGTAAAACAATTCAACAACGCACCTCTTCTCCATGATGGCCACGTATTCCGAGAGGTCGGGTGGAATCATGTCCTCCGGCGCGGGCAAGCCTTCTAGGAACAGCTTGTTTTCTATGAACCGCTGGGCAGCCTAGTGGAACATAAATACAAGGTTAACAGGAAAGAAGGTCCCTAGCAACCAGTCCTATAAAATGGCAATGATCTTGCGAACCACCGTCCTAGCAAAGGTACTGGGGACTAAGAAGATGACAGGAAAAACGAAACTAAATGATGGCACCCTGGGTACATGTACTTGTGCACCTTCACTTCCACCTACATGATGTGTACCGGTTTGTCAATGGAGTGCACACCTGGCAATGCATTATACTAGATGGTGCACTCAGGGAGAGTTATGGCAGCTCGAGAGAGTGTCATGCATGAGCAGTACCGACAGATATTGGTATCCTGTTTTGTACAATTCCTTTTTTCGCAAAGCTTCCCCTTCCATTTTATCTTGGATATTTCGGGTGTTGTTGCTTTGCTGCGAATTGTAGTAAGACCACATTGTCAAGTTATCACCTGGTCTTGGCATCATCCTGTAACAGTATACATGCTTTGTTGCCGTCTGACATGGCTTTTGCGCATTTTCGCTGCGGTCACCGTCTTCCCCTCTTAGGTCCTACCATTACCTTGAATCTTTCCAAGTTGGAAGGCTGCTGGGTTTGCGCACTGGAGATGTGTTGACGCTAGGTGAGAGGTCGTTGAATGTATCAGTAGCCCGTCACTTTTGTGCTCAGTCATAGCACTTTCTGACTGCTTATTATCATCTTGTTGCAGTAGTTGACAGTTACCTATAACTCATACTACCATGTGTCTTTTATATATCTACATTTAATATTGGCTCAGTATCCGAGATAAATTAAAATCTTCATTATAAATAAACACATTTATAGAATAGAACAGGAAACAGATAGCTAGCTCTAAAACGAGGTCAAGTTTTCATGCGTTCACGCAATTTCGCGTATCCAGCCCAGAAGACACTTCACATAAGTCCTCATCGATTCCTCGTCACGGTGTGAACAATGCCACATAATTCGTTCACTGCGGTTTTCAACTCGGATACTGAACTAGTACTTGTAGTAAACGTAAAAAAGAGAAGAAACACATGAGAATGAGTTAAGCAGCAACTATCCACGACCGTAACAAGATGATAAACAGTCAAAAAGTGCGATAATAGAGCACAAAACTGACAGGCTACTGAGACACATTCAGCGACCCGAGACCTAGGTCTAACACATCTCCAGTGCACAAACCAACAGCCTTCCAACTTGGAAGGTTCATGGTTACGTAGGACCGAAGAGGGGAATGATTTTGTCGTTGTTATATTTTCCTTGTAAAACTTGATAAATTTCTACCTTGTTGCGAGTGTTGTACCTCACTACATTTATGCCATATAAATTTTAGTCTTTTTTTTCCACTTCAGCCATTCCCTGTATTGTCCTTGAAGTGAAGGGAACGAAAACGTTCGAAACCTTATGTGAAGTGTCTTCTGGATTGGATGCGTGGAATTGCGTGGATGAATGCGAACTTGACCTCGTTATAGATAGCTAGTTGCTTGTTTTTCATGTTTTAAAACATGGTGGCACAGAATACAGGGGAAATGCAGCACGGGACAGGAACACCACCGGTTGGGAATACCGATTGCAGAATAACACAAATGAACATGCAATGATCATTTTCCTCACCTGCTCAATGGCACGGTTGCAGTGTGACATCTTCACCTTTAGTTCTTCGTACACCGCAAGAGCTTGACAAGACTCTGTGCGTCATAGAAAATAAAAGACGGCAAATGGAGGGAGTAACGCTCAGAAACACTGCTTTGTTGACAATCATCCATCACATCTCAAGACAGGTGACACAGATCTAGCAATGTGAGCTATAATTGTGCCACGTGACCATGACAGGTTCCTACTTTGACCTTGTCGCAATTCATCTGCATGTGTCATGATAGGCGCAAAGCCAGCAAGGATTGAAAATTTTCACGCGAACTAACGTGAACACATTGAAATGCCGAAGAACAAATGTACAATAGAAAGCCATACATTACTCTTTATTTGAACTCGGATGGTGAGCCAATGTAATCATGGCTATAAAAGGAGAAGGACAAAATAGTACGAGTTATGACTAACTGTCCATCAATATAACCAGAGCATACACCGTCAGCGAATGCGACAAAAAGGCACAAAACTGACAAGGAGTGCCGAGACGTTCAACAATCAGACACCTAGCTCCAACACTTCTACGACACGCACATCAACAACCTTCCAACTTGGGAGACCTGAGCTTGACCTGACTTGAGCCTCCTAAGTTGGAAGGTTGTTGGTTTGTGCCTCGAAGAAGTGTTGGAGCTAGGTGTCAGGTCGCTGAAGGTCTCAGTACTCCTTGTCAGTGTCGTGCCTTTTAGTCGCACACGCTGACTGTACATTATCTGGTTACAGTGGTGGACAGAACTCGTACCATTTTGACCTTCTCCTTTTATAATCATGATTACGCCCTATGGTCACATTTACCGCCATATATGGCACATCACAGCCACATTACAGTCTCATGGGGCACATTACAAGCTTTGTGAGGCACATTACCGATCTCTAAGATACTGAGTATCTGGATGAAGCTGTCTGCCTCGGGTTGGAAGCTACAGCACAAACACAAAAAAATGTAAGAGCTCCATTTTTTAGAAGTATTGACAGAGGTCAATTAATTGCATTTTGCAGTAAATAATTCCACTTCTTCATTGGTACTGGCATACTGCACTCATAAAGAGAGAAAGAGAGAGAGAGAGACAGAGAGAGAGAGGCGGGGGGGGGGGGAAGACGGAGAGAGGGAGGGAGAGAGGGAGGGAGAAAGAGAGAGAGAGAGAGAGAGAGAGAAAGAGGGAGAGAGAGAGAGGGGGTGGGTGTGGAGAGAAAGCATGAGAGGTGAGCTGCCAGATAAGGTACACGTATGAGACTCCCATTTAAAGTAGCGAAGAGCCGCTGCAAATAATTTTACGAGTAGAACACCAACAAGTTTTTGAACCGTTCGTGGCACGCGAACCTAAAGAAAAGATAATACCACTGCATAGTGTGCAAAACAATGCCAGCACGTGAAGAGTTAACGAAGCAAGACTCAGCTGCAACTCAGAGAGAAACGGATGTACACCATTGTTCATAGTATCAGGCAGGCTCAGACAGTTAGCTTACAATGAAAATACAGCATTCCAAATCTTCTGCAGCTGTGACAGAGACGCCTTCTGTTTGGTAAAGTACTCTAGCGTGTTCTGATATTCACCGCTGATAATGGTACTGATAACAGTGAGAACAATACAGTGGGGAGACAGACAAAAAAAAAGGTTAAGCTCAATGATGATATTATCTTCTGCTTGCTATTTGCCCCAGAAACATGTGCTGGCTTCCTTGTCTCAGTTAATAGGGCAAGTGAAGCATTGCCGATTACCTACCACATACCGATACTCTACAATGTTCTGATATTCTGGCAAACATATGTCACAAGCCGTAATCTGGACACACCTAGGCGATGGGCCCAGGTATCACACAGCAATTTTCGCCATGCAGTTGTTCACAGGCAGCATTGGCGGAATTGTCTTTCTTTAGAAGTATCTGTGTATGTACAGTAAAACTCCCCAGATCCAGACACCCCTAATCCGGGCATGTCCATCTACCAGGCACCTTTCTGACCCATCTTTAAAGTCACAAAAATGGCTTTCCAACGAAAAACAGCTCCAAAAAATATTAACTAAAAATGCTTGCTTGCATGCAGTAAGTAAGTATGTATGTTCTCAGCTAAGGTCAATTCCTAGGTACACACGGACAGTGCTGGGTCCCAACCTGTTCGGATTACGATAGGTTTACTGTACTTGCAAGATTTTCTCGCCAAGCATGGCATGCATTTTCGACTATCGACAAAGCAGTCCACACAAGCAATAAGCCCACTCTCACTGGCTCGTCACCTACCCAAGGACGCTGACAGAACGGTCTGCGCACAAAACATTGCGCTTCAGAAATCGTATAGAGTTCTGAACAAGGTGAGCTCTTTGCCAGAATCGCTGCAACAATGGAAAGTAGATCAAACATGCAAATACAATACATACACAACAGGATCAGGTACTGCAGCATAGTCCAAGAGAACTCAGTGCAATAGAGGCAAAGCCGTGAGATGGCAATGATGAAGCTTGAAGGTGTGAACTAAATCGGGCCATCTGTTGTTTCACACGGAACATACAAATGTGGCGAATTAACTTCTCGGGATTTGCTGTTCTCATGGGGTGTGGCGCTACTATGCAAATCTTGCATACAGGGATATGCTACTAGAAGACATACTGTGAAATAGTTGAACAATGACCAAATCGGTGCAGCCAAGATATAATAGTTGCAACACACCATCCTTTCTCCCTGCCGGATGGGTGTTTGTGCGCATGCTTGTGCGTAAGCCTTGCGCATGCACTCCAGTCACATCAGGTTCCCGCATTGATAATAATTCTCAAACGTCTTCCCCAGGAATGCTGGTCGTTACCGCATTCTTACCTAATGCTAATACCAATTCAACAGCAGAAAACGCTCCAAGGAATGGTGCATGACAGTCACTTTCTCGTCAAACTTGCAGCTAATACAACCATGGTTCTATGCAAGGAAGCTGTACCCCTACCAGGAATTGAGCACAACGAGAGCTGAGGAAGAAATCTGCTGTGTAAACATACACAGTATGCGTTACCATGGTTACACACCTGTATTTGATAGAGATCGTCACTGATGGTTGGTTGGGTGACAGCGGACGCAGTAGCAATCGGCTCCAATCCTGTGCGGCCATATAACAGAGAATGGTAGACTAATTTTGATTAGAAAACATAATGTCACAGTGAGACTACGATGTGTTTTACTCCGAACCAAAATTTCATGGCTCTGCGATGACCAGAAGCGCCGTTGCTTCGCACTGTGATTTGAGTTTTACGTCTTTCGAAAAATCAACTTCTTGTCGCAGGTAAACAGCGGCTCGCCTCTCGCCAATAAAGCACCGTATACCAATGAAAACTAATGGAAGCACACACAATACTTATTGTTACTCTGTACTGGCCGTCGTGGAGCGATAGCAATTACCTAATTTCAGAACTCAGAGTGAATTTGGCGTGCACTCTAAAACCTTTCCGGTTTGGAGCCACCTCTGATTTGAAGCGAAAATTGGGCAACTTGGAGGCAATGGGCCAACACAAAGGAGTGGCTCAGTTTGATTGACTCTGGCCTCAGAGCAAACTTCAACATGCCAGTTTCCTTCCACAAACATATTTCGAGTGAACAATCCACGCTGATGGTTTGGGTCAATACAAATTTGGCTGGCTGTCAAAACGTCCCGGCTATCGAGCCGTCTCCTCTACTGGATGTGCACCCACAGATTTTCTCTTATAGCAACGATAGCGAACAAGATCTGAATGAAAGAGATCAAGACTTGCGCCAGGTAACAGTCTAATCCACACAACTGGCGAAGCCATGTGAATCGACCACCAATGCACACCTGGTCTGCACCACACCGAGTACATCGGCACAAAACGGCAAAGACAGTTACCTATGCACACCCTACACTTGTTGGGGTAACCAGTATAGACAGCACGCTGCTTTGATAGAAGCAGACACTAGATGCACAGGTACCTTGAAGTGAAATTGGAGTTACTTTACCAACCAGCCTCGGCTACTGAGTACTGGGAACCCAGAGCCAACAGACATACCAACAACCTCAGCCATGAAAGCTATTATAGTAATGACACACTGGATTGTGGAGCCGAAACTAGTCCAACTTCCAAATGCGTACACACACACACACACCCCCACACACACACACACTCACACATACACACGCATATACACACGCACACACACACACACACACACAAACACACACACACACACACACACACACACTTGAACTTGAACTTGAACTTGAACTTGCCCATTGCCGTAGGCAATGATAGCGAAAGGACTAATTCGGCGGCAACCGGCAGAAAGGTGCGTGGTGCTTGAGATCGCCGGGGCGGCAACACGTCTTCTCGCAAGCAAAATGATACTCTGGCTCGGCGGAGACATCACAAGGCTGACGGCTGGATGACCTCCCTCCACTCCCAGCGGTTCTGGGCAGTGTCGAGCCATTCCTTCTCCGGGACACATGGATGAATGCGGTTAAAGTCATCCACAGCCACATCCCACCAACGCCTGCTTGGGCCGTGCTGCGGTCGAGTTGCAGAGAGCTCCCCAAACAGGGTACACTTGGGCAGGCGGTCATCGTCCATGCGGCCAATATGGCCGAGCCATCGTAGCCGACGCTCACGGATGATGTCGCCGATGTCCGAATCAATTCCGAGGGTCTTCGCCAGTGTTGAAGAAGTGACTCGATCATCCCATTTCTGGTGTCTTGAGATGCTGACAATAGCCCGCACGCACTGATGGTGGAATGCGTTAAGACCGCGCAGATCAGGAGCCTTGCTCGTCCAGGTCTCTGCTCCATACAACAGGGTCGTAAGAACGAGAGCTACGTAGACACGACGTCGACATCGGAGGGACAAGGAGCGGTTCCCGAAGACAGGTGCCCGCAAGCAACCAAACACTCGAGGCGCCTTAGAAATCCACGACTTTACATCATGCGCACAAAGACCATCCCGGGGAATCACGGACCCAATATATGTGAATTGGTCAACGGCGTCGCACACACACAGACACACACACCCCATTGGACCATTGGACGCCCATCGCCCGAGGCGATGATAGCGAATCTACAGCAGAAGCCTCATCAGCTTGTGCTGGGATTGCACCATTCAACAGCTTGCAAGGCCGAAGAATTGACCGCCACTATTCAGCCTGGTCTATACCACACAGCTATGAAGTGGCTTTTTCTGGCCAGTGAATCCCTACTTTTTGGTCTTTTTCGGGTTTTTTTCACGCACACACATCACACCACATACTCCGGCATTCACGGGCTGTTGGTAACCACCCTGGAGAATGAAAGAAGAGTCAGGAGTAGTCTGAGAAAGAGAAGAAAGACGTGTGTGACCAAAATCGTCGGGAATCGAACCCGCAACCTATCGATTGGAAATCGCTGCACATACCCCTGCACCATATGGGACACAAACACACACACACACACACACACACACACACACACACACACACACACACACACACACACACACACACACACACACACTACTGTATTTCTTCACAGCCGCCAGAAATGACCACACTGCTCTCGAATATGCTGTGTACTTCAGTACACGGTTGGTGATGGTGGCAGTGACATCACCACTTTCATCAACACCAACAACGAAAACAATAACAACAAAACACTAGCGCACACACATGCACACACACACACACACATGCCTGCACACACACACACACACACACACACACACACACACACACACACACACACACCACGCCTGCACACACACATACACATGCACTAAACGCACTTCAGTGCATACTCGGTCCGTCTGTTTAAAATTGGCGCTTATCTTCGAACTTGATAATAAGTTGATTTTTCGGTGTTCTGCCAGTGTTATATTACATGGAACCACCAATTCACCATCTTAACATAACCATTGAGTCATGCTTCCGACAACATGGCAGCACAAACCACCGCTGAAGTTGCGATCGGTTCGTTTGAGTCTTTTTGACTGGAGCTGCCGCCAACGGACACTTCCGTCAGTGCAAGAAAACGCTGCAACCACCGCTCCAGCCCGTAAAATAGGTCGGGATGTTCGCATTTCTGAGCGAAGGAGAATACAGTTTCTGCTTACTTCCAGCTGTCTGGTGGCAAGGATGGTTTACTGCGGGACTTATAGAAAAGCTGGAAAAGTGCTTCGCGAGCTTGTATTTCAGTGCTCGCACAGTACAGCGCCTAGTAAAGAGTTACCACTAGCAAATCGCGAAGAAACTGCAGCTCATGCCGAATTCTCCAGAACGTGAGACCAATCAGGAAGACAAATTTTGAAGTTCACAGAGGACCGGGCAAACGATATAATCAAATAAACACCAAGTCCTGAGGGAAACGCTCGTTCAAAGGACTTTCAGGAAAGCAGCCGAAAAGACTGGTGCAAGGCGTTGTGACTTAGGAAGTGAGGTGCAGTAGATCTACGCCCAGGTGTTACATCAATCAAGCGGAAGCTGTCACTGCGCTGCATGGGCAAGCACCAGCGGCTCACGTGGGCGCTGATGAGCAGAGTACGACAAGCGTAAAACTCAGAGGCGATTTGAAAAACAGGACACTGATATGGCTTTGCCTTTTTGTCTGAAAGAATGGCATTATTGCGACGAATGGGATAACACTGACAGGCAACACGTGGGCAGTCTCGCTCAGCTTCTGAGCGGCAACGTGACAGGCATGCACTGGCTTCTGAGCGTGATTCAAGACGAGGAGAAGTGGAACAAGCTATGAAATGTGCAGCAGCTCGCCAGATCAAACAATTTGGACTCTTTCTCCAGCGACGATAGTGGCGAGGAGACGTCTAACTTGCTTTTAAAACTAACTTGCTTAAAGTTTCGGCCGAGTTGCTTACGGGCCATCCATTAATATAGATATTTATTTAGAAAGGAAACTAGTTGTTCAGGGGGAGGGGGAGTTGAGCGCCTGTTCGTTTCTCAATAATTATCGATGCACAATTTGTATGTGCGGGCACCTCCAGAAAATAATATATAATATCGATACAACACACACAACAGAGGCGAAAGGCTGTGTTAGCTGTAACATAAGTTCCACGCATCGGAGCGATCATCAGACAGCAGCATCCACTATCGAATTCTCTCCGAGCAGGCCTAGATATTTGATGCTAGTGTGGAAGTTAGTGCATATGTGCGATGTGAAGACGTGGCATTGGGACAATGGTATTGGGTTGTTTATATCGATACAATGTACCATTTGTCTGTGTTCGTTTCTCGGGGAGGTGGGAGGGCTAGGGGGTTGAAGAGAAATGACTAGTTTCTGTTTGTATCGGTATTTACGGATGACCTCTAATAAATACTGACATGCAAATAGTCATGTACATAGTGTTTTGTAATCGTGGCATGCTTCAAACATATGTATTTCCTTCCTGAGACAAGTGTGAAGATAAGTGCCAATAGATGACTTGCACAAAGATTGTCTGGGTTCGAGACGGGGCAAGTGGACCTTCTGACTCTGACTTCCCCACCTTTTGAGTTCGTGACTTTCGAAGTTTCGCTTTTTGCCTGACAAACACTGAGCTAGTTTTTTGGCTAGAGAGTAGAGTTGTTTTGATTCGACTTGTATCGTCATGCCGAAGCGCTGCTGCGCTCCTGAATGAACTAGCAGACGAGAGATGGAACTGATGCTCCCATTCCATACGTTCTTTTCCGAGCCGGCCGGGCGGGAGGCAGAAAAATGAGGGAATATTATTTCAGTATCATTGGTGTAGGCTGCAACAAGCACGTCGTGGTCCTGAAGTGTGACTACTTTCCCGCAGTGGAAGCGAAGTCAAGCACAACGAAAGTTTGTGGACGTCTGAGAAAGAACTCGATTCCCTTTCAATCGGCTGCACTAGCTCCAGAGCGACCCTCTCCTGAGGACAGACTGCGGAGAGGCCAGGAACTTGCCGAGTCACGAGTGGAAGCCTAAACCACGAAAATGAAGGGTGGAAGGACTGAGTATGAGAGCCAGATCATCTGGGCCTTTAGGTTAGTAGTACTTCAAGTAGTATCTGAGTTGAAGGAGAGAATAAGTGTGCTGGAGAAACGCTGCAAAGTCCTCAGGCCTGATGTGTACTAGCTACTGTTGAAGTCTCACTTGTTCCGATATGAACATTTCATCAGCCCTGACTCTGCGCAGCTGTATCTAGACTTGGATCTAGGCCAGAGACATAGCATTGTAAACTTTACTGAAGCCATATGTATCCGATGTCTGGCTCTAGTGAGAAAGCAGTTTGTCGCAGGCTCGCAAACTATGATTGAATCAGGGAGTGGTGAAAAGTCACATTATACCACTTTATGATTAGCTGGTAATGACGACGCTGCGGCTCCGGCTGGGTCTCATGGGTAAATAACTTGCATACCTGCTTAGATGCAACGAGGCAACGGTATCCCATGTACTGAAGACATGATTGAACTACATTTTATCTCCTCCTGGGAGAATGTGGAACAAATAATGCCAGAGTGTGTCTGATACACATCACAGTCTGCTGAGTATGTTCATTATTGTGGACGTGACAGAACTGCGCTGTGAGGTACCTTCTGCGTTGGACCTACAGTTGAGCCACTACTCTTCTTACAAATTCCATACAACGGTGAACGGATTTGTTGGAGCATCCTCAAACAGTGCATTCGCCTTCATCATACACTGGCTCCGTTGCCTACAGTAATTCACATCTTGACGGGGCGCGCTGGGACGATACGGAAGGAGCGGCGGGAACCATTGGAGTGCTCATGATGCTGGTTAGCGGAGATGGATGTGAGTGTCAGGAACGGGAACGCAACCACGCTACGGTACAGATCAGGAAGCGATGGAAGAGTTGAATCTGTTCAGCCTTCCATGCCGTGTACAGGGACACAAGCGTAAAAATGGCTACATTTCGAATGTGAACTGGCGATGGCATTGTGTGGCGACGTATGCCATATTATTGGGTGCATCGAGGTTGCTTCTATGCTCACTGTTGTTAGTAAGACAACTTTTTATAACTATTTCACCGAAGAATATGGCAAGAGTATTTTAGGTTGGTTTGGACGCCTGGCTTCTCTCACATAATATACAATCATGTACTTCCACTAACCCTACAAGTGCACATAACTCATGAGCTTCTGAAGACAGTGACGGTACTGATCATGTACATGTACATGCCGTGCACCGTTCATTCATGCTGACAAAAAAAGTACACTACAGACGGTGTAGGGTGCCTGCAGTGTAGCCTGGGTCACAGTGGGTGCACTTGCCCCGTCTCACTCGCGACTCGGATCTTTGTGCAAGTCATCTATTGTCACTGGGCGGACCAAGTAGGAAATTCACTCTGGTACTACTTCAAAATACACCATCCAATCCATGGCATTAATGTCTGAGTCATGACACCTGCATGAAATACAATCCATGACCTTAATTTCTGAGTCATGGCACCTGCATGGAATACCATCCATGGCCTTCATTTCTGAGTCACTCAACCTGCATAGAATACCATTAATTTTTCACGAGACGAGTTTATAAATATTTGGTAATGGGAGGACCTTCAAGCAGCCAAACAATTTTCAAGCAGTTGTCATGGCAACCGGCAGTGGTGATGTAATGAGATAGGAGTGTGCTGATGACTGACCTGATTAGACTCGATCACTCTCCGTCAGCAAACTGTTCATCTGCTCAAGCTGCGTTGTGTACTGTCCATAACCCTTGACGATCTTGCACAGCTTGATGTAGCCATCACGTTCCTGTGCCATGATAATATCCAGTAGTTCAGAATTGTGATCTCTGCCACCGTGGTTCCTCAGGGTCAGTTTGAGCTTTTCAATCTGACCAAAAGCTAAGAAGCCGTACTCCTGTGCTTTGTCACGCAGGCCATTAGCATCCAGCTTTTTCAGCCAGATGTGGATTTTTGTTATGAAGATGGCATGGTCGAATGGGTTATCCAAGAACGTCTCTGAAAAGCAGAAAAGAACGTGATCATATATTGCAGAGGCCAATATACAATCTGATCCGGTACTGTTTCTGCCAAAGCAGCAATGCGAGTATAAATGATCTGCAGACAAAGTGCCTGTTACGCCAAATGATCAAATACCCTTAGAAACTCTTCCAGCCTGTCAAATCTATTGAATAAGCAACGAGGAGATAATAGATTTCCCTGATGAGTGTCTCATGAAAATAGATTAGGAATTTTGTTTTTAGATTCATCATATTTTTTGTTTTAGTTTCGTAACCTCTGCCTCACTTATACTATTCTTTACTTGTTTTATCGTTTGAACGCGTCCTTATCAACATCACGTTTTTAAGTTGTGCATTTGCCTCATAATGCATGCTGCCAGAACACTCTGGTTGACTTTGATATGAATGAAGGCACAGTTTTCACATCTGACAATAGCGAGATTGTTTCAAAACTTCTACACCTAGGTACCTGACAACAACGAGATTGTTTCAACACTTCTACACCTAGATACCTGACAATAACGAGATTGGTTCAACAGTTCTACACCTAGGTACCTGACAATAACGAGATTGTTTCAATACTTCTACACCTAGATACCTGACAATAACGAGATTGTTTCAGCACTTCTACACCTAGGTACCTGACAATAACGAGATTGTTTCAATACTTCTACACCTAGATACCTGACAATAACGAGATTGTTTCAATACTTCTATACCTTGGTGGATCTACCTGGCGTGGAATTTGCATTCACGGTGCTAGCAGTACTTTTCTTTTCTCCAGCACATTTCAGGACAGGATGATACAGATTTTGCTCTAGCTCGTTTTTGCTCTCGCTTTCATTTTTAAAACTCACACTTGTGAATTTCACTGCTGTTGTTCTTAGTGTTATTTCTCTAACTTAGATTTTCTATGATAGCTCCATTTTGTTTCAGTGTCCTTTAGTACAACAACGGTTTGTGATGAGTGGTGCACGAAAACTTGTTCGAATCCTTGTTTTCTCTACACAATTTCTGCATATTTTCATCGCTTTATTGTACATTGTCTCCACCGTTTCACATTGTATGAATAAAGTGTACACAAATGTTGATTCAGCTTGTCTTATTGATTGCGGTTATCAAATTATTGTCTCCTTGCCGTTTGTTTAAGTATACTTATACCTCTCCATATTCACCCTATCATCCCTACAGCTCAACAAACGAGTCACGTTTGTCATACATGTACATGTACGCAGAACTAACGTAAGTCGTTGTTACTTCACTACACACTGGCATGTTCTTGCATGAATCGGAGAGTGATGTGTTCCTGACAGAGTCTTGTTCAACTTTTTGTTAGGATCGATCGTGTACACATACAGCACCGAGTACTGCTCTCTTTACAGTAAGTATGGAAAAGTGGTGAATAAGTGGTGAATATCAAGCAATATCCACCACTTCTGTTGATGGTCAATTGCATGTGGGTGAATATGTAATGAAGTATAAGCCAGTGTATATAGAGCAAGAAGGTAGACAAGAAGGTATGTATTTTTGTGTGTTTTCGTGTATGTATATAGCATACAGACAGACTAAGACAACAATGGTAGCAGCACACAAATTGAAGGGCATTTGAGTGCAGATAGATGAGAACAGGATAAAGAGAGCAGTCTTATGTTAAAAGGAATAACGCACCCGTTTCTTCAGAGAGCTCCGCTTCATCCTCCTGATACAGGTTTGCAATGCGTTCGTCCGTTGACCACATGGCATGGCTGAAGATACACACACACACACACACACACACACACACACACACACACACACACACACACACACACACACACACACACACACACACACACACACACACACAAACACACACACACACACACACACAAACACACACACACATTCAAAATGAACAAACATGGAACATACTAACTATTTGATGACATAAATCGATACTTGCACACACATGTAGATGCCTATATTGCTGGCCGCACTCCTGAGCGCATTCCTGCTCACACTCTTCCCAACGCCCAAACTCCTGCCCACAATCCTGTCCGCACACTTTGCCCACACTCCCCTGCCCACATTCCCCCCCCCCCCCCCCCCCGCCCACACTTCTATGCCCACACTCCCCTGCCCACACTTCTCTACCCAATCTTCTCTACCCACACTCCACTGCCCACACTTCTCTGCCCACACTCCCTGCCCACACTCCCATGCCCACACTTCTCTCCCACACTTCTCTGCCCGCACTCCCTGCCCACACTCCCTGCCCACACTCTCCCCTGCCCACACTCCCTGCCCACACTCCCCTGCCAACACTCCCCTACCCACCCTTCTCTACCATGGCTCCGGGTTCACGGAGGTGTGTTTACTCGCTGACATTATGCCATCCTTGGTTAGTGCACCCACACAGTTACTGGCCACAGCGTGAGCGGGTCTAGCTTCCCCAGTTGACCCCCTTTCAGAAGAACAGTGTACACTCTGCCCTCACTCCCCTGCCCACACTCCCCTGCCCACACTCCCCTGCCCTCACTCCCCTGCCCACACTTCCCTGCCCATACTTCTCTGCCCATACTTCTCTGCACGCATTCCTGATCACACACCTGCCCACACTCTCCTGCCCACCCTTCTCTGCCCACACTCCCTGCCCTCTTTTCTCTGCCCACACTTCTCTGTCCACACTCCCTTCCCACACTCCCCTGCCCACACGTCTCTGCGCGCATTCCTGATCACACTCCTACCCACACTCCTGCCCACCCTCCTGCAAGCCTTTATGAACATGCTCATACTCCTCCCCTCACTTCTCTGCTCGCATTCTTGATCACATTCCTGCCAGCCTTTCTGAACACGCTCATACTCCTCTCCTCACTTCTCTGCTCGCATTCTTGATCACACTCCTGCCAGCCTTTCTGAACACGCTCATACTCCTCCCATCACTTCTCTGCTCGCATTCTTGATCACACTCCTGCCTACACTACTGCCTACACTTCTGCCTGCACTACTGCCTACTCTACTGCCTACACTACTGCCTAAACTACTGCCTACACTACTGCCTACACTACTGCCTACACTACTGCCTACACTACTGCCTACACTACTGCCTGCACTACTGCCTACACTACTGCCTACACTACTGCCTACACTACTGCCTACACTACTGCCTACACGACTGCCTACACTACTGCCTGCACTACTGCCTACACTACTGCCTACACTACTGCCTGCACTACTGCCTACACTACTGCCTACACTACTGCCTGCACTACTGCCTACACTACTGCCTACACTACTGCCTGCACTACTGCCTACACTACTGCCTGCACTACTGCCTACACTACTGCCTACACTACTGCCTGCACTACTGCCTACACTACTGCCTGCACTACTGCCTACACTACTGCCTGCACTACTGCCTACACTAATGCCTGCACTACTGCCTACACTAATGCCTGCACTACTGCCTACACTTCTGCCTACACTACTGCCTACACTACTGCCTACACTACTGCCTACACTACTGCCTACACTACTGCCTACACTACTGCCTACACTACTGCCTGCACTACTGCCTACACTACTGCCTACACTACTGCCTACACTACTGCCTTCACTACTGCCTACACTACTGCCTACTCTACTGCCTACACTACTGCCTACACTACTGGCACTGCCTACACTACTGCTTACACTACTGCCTACACTACTGCCTGCACTACTGCCTACACTACTGCCTACACTACTGCCTGCACTACTGCCTACACTACTGCCTGCACTACTGCCTACACTACTGCCTACACTACTGCCTGCACTACTGCCTGCACTACTGCCTACACTACTGCCTGCACTACTGCCTACACTACTGCCTGCACTACTGCCTACACTACTGCCTGCACTACTGCCTACACTACTGCCTGCACTTCTGCCTACACTACTGCCTGCACTACTGCCTACTCTACTGCCTACACTACTGCCTACACTACTGCCTACACTACTGCCTGCACTACTGCCTACACTACTGCCTACACTACTGCCTGCACTACTGCCTACACTACTGCCTGCACTACTGCCTACACTACTGCCTACACTACTGCCTACACTACTGCCTACACTACTGCCTACACTTCTGCCTGCTCTACTGCCAGCACTACTGCCTACTCTACTGCCTACACTACTGCCTACACTACTGCCTACACTACTGCCTACTCTACTGCCTACACTACTGCCTACACTACTGCCTTCACTACTGCCTACACTACTGCCTACACTACTGCCTACACTACTGCCTGCACTACTGCCTGCACTACTGCCTACACTACTGCCTGCACTACTGCCTACACTACTGCCTACACTACTGCCTACACTACTGCCTACACTACTGCCTACACTTCTGCCTACACTACTGCCTACACTACTGCCTACACTACTGCCTTCACTACTGCCTGCTCTACTGCCAGCACTACTGCCTACTCTACTGCCTACACTACTGCCTACACTACTGCCTACACTACTGCCTACTCTACTGCCTACACTACTGCCTACACTACTGCCTTCACTACTGCCTACACTACTGCCTACACTACTGCCTACACTACTGCCTACACTACTGCCTACACTACTGCCTACACTACTGTCTACACTACCACCTACACTACTGCCTACACTACTGCCTACACTACTGCCTGCACTACTGCCTGCACTACTGCCTACACTTCTCACATCGACGAAGGCATTGCCCAACTACACCACAGACAGAGCATCTGTCCTGTCCTTGTGCGTCTGGAGGAGCATGACTGAATTTAACCGACTCTGGCCCATTGTGGAGCGGAGATAGGACTTGATTCTCCGCATTGCTGAGAAGGATCTCTCGCTGATGGCGTTGGTAGCTGGGCTTACCAGAATCAAGCGCACCAGCTTCACAACTTCAGACAGAAACTGCCTCTGAGATGTGGAGTAGCCCCGCAAGAACTTCAGCACAGACCTAAACGTGACATCGTCATCAGAGGTCAGCTGCGTCTGAAGGAGGGAAAACTGGGTCAGAAGGAGGTTGGAGTCGAGATCCTCGCAGTACAACTCTGTCACTGCCTTGAACTCGTCTGTAGCGTCAACCCCTTTGGCACTCTTCAAGAGAAGGTTCTCCATCTGCGTGTATATGGCGAAGCCCTTCTGATTAAACCGGGTCTGGATGGAGGACTTGGCACTGTCAAGCACTTCATAATACAGCTGCCGATAGTGGCCTTCCGGGGAGCTGGGGTGGCATGCTGGCTCATCTCCACCTTCAAACCTCTGTGGACGTTTGCGTTTGCGAGGGAACTGCGGTTCAGAGACATCAAACTGGTGACTTTTTGCCACAGTAGCCTCCCAGAACATCGAGAATGAATTCTCTGTTCGCATCTTTGTGATTGTGTTCACCGTCAAACGTGCTATTTTCTGGGCTTCGGCAGCAGACATTGTTGAACTCTGGAGGGAAACAGAGAGGTTGTCACCATGTGCCAGGACAAGACGGGCCAAACTGATTCCAAAGAAGAAGTTGAAAGTCTCCATTTGAGCCTTCACTCCGATTACGCGAGCACGCACGTCGGGGTCCACACTCCCAGCCAGAACTTCATCCCACAGTTCTTGCAAGACCAGATACTTATCCAGGATGCTTTGCAGACTCTTGCCTCGCACTGTCCAGCGGGTCGGGCACAGCACACGGAATCCTGGTGTGTCGGGCGAGATCTCACCCTTCAGGACGTCAAATCGGGCATTCCGTTTTTGCGAGTACTTAATTAACTTGCTGATCTCGCTGGTGACATCGAGGGAATCTCTGGTCAGCACAGTCGTCTTGATGGTGTCGCACATTGCCAGGTTCAGAGAGTGCCCGTAGCAGTGCACAAAAAGAGCCCTTGGCTCTTCATCTCCCAACTGCTTCGCGACACCAGATCTGTGGCCAGCCATATTTGAGGCACCGTCGTAGCATTGGCCTCGGCAACGGTTGAGTTGGAGGTTGAGTCGCAGCATGCAGTCCCGGATAGCCGCAACGATCGTATCTGCAGATATGTTGTCAATCTGGCACAAACCAACGAAATCTTCATGATCTTCCAACTTCTGGTCAACCCACCGGAAGCACAACGCCAGCTGTTCCTTGTTAGATACGTCTGCGCACTCATCGGCCATTACGCTGAACACCTCAGCAGTATGGATGGACTTGGCCACATTCCGGAGTATGCTATGCGACATTAGCTGAAGGATTTCGTTCTGGATTTCGGGGGAGCAGTACTTATCCCCTCGTCGCTCCAGCCAAGCACGCAACTCGGGAGTATGTAGCTTCTGTAGTTGCAGCAGTTGCATAAAGTTCGACTCTGCATCGTCGTGGCCACGCAAGGGAAGACCTTGGCGACCCAAAAACTTCATGTTCTGTAGGATTCTGACAAACATTCGCCGATTCAGGGCTTTCTCCTTGGCATGGGCTAGACTTAGCGCCTCACCAAAGTCCTGGACAGTCTGCGGTAGCACAAGCATCTCCTGGACAGCGCCGATATGACACAGCGACTTTTCGTGCCGGCGGAACTCCTCCGTGGCATCTTTCCAATTCTTGAAGGCCTTAGAAATGAAGGCCGAGTCCTTCGATGGCGCTTTCAGATTCCCTTGCTGATCAGCAAAGGAACACAAATGGCAGGTCACAGAATCCGTCGACTCGTCGTAGTGCAACCAGTTGAACTTATCGAACCAAGCTGGTTGAAACGGACGCTCAACGATCGATGTTCGCCCGAAACTTCGCTTTGGAAAAGCAATGTTCCGAGGCTGATGAGCCTCCATGGTGTCCACACAAGCAGCAATCAGAGAGGAAAAAGACACACAACTACGAGAATTCTTTGGAAAAAGTGGAACACAAAAAGCAGCGGATCAGCGAAGGCGTGAAAGCGAAAAGCGTCCGTGGATGTGCATCACACAGTGTACATGGTCGTAGGCCATACCGGTAGCCCTATATGCACGTACACTCGCATGTGTTACGCGTAGGGCTCCCTGGTGCAAGCCAGGAAGTCGTACGACCCCCTACGACTCCCTGGTGTAGGCCGTGCAGCCTTGCAGGGCCTTCAAAAAAACGTGGTCGGACGAAAAAGTGGTCATATCATTAAGCAAGCAGTGTAGGGAAATTATTGCCACTGCCTACTGACCAGTACTTTGGCCGAGTGGTTGTGGGCTTGCCTGCGAATCGCAAGGTTCTGAGTTCAAGACCAGTGCTGACACCAGTGAGCGTGTACATTGTTAACAAATGCTGTGATGCAAGCGTAAAGCACTTTACATGCAGTTAACTGCTCTGACAACCACTGTTAACTGGCTACTCACTACACTGTGTTCATAGTGAGGGTAACATAGATGCAGCTAACGAGGTTTTGCACCTTGTCAGGCATTGCTTGTGATACTAAGTTACCCTCGCTGTCACGTGCTACATCTGCCACCCTGGTATATCAGGCATGGTGGTGGCCTTGTACAAGCAAAACTTCCTAAACTGGTTGTGTTTCTCAACACAATTGCACAGCCGGTTTGGTTGCGTATCTGCGATCTTTACTTTCTTCTGCTTATGTACTTCAAAATAGGGAAGGGTGTTTTAAATAGGATCTGGGAACTACACAGCTCAATAAGACCTTTCTGGTTTCTAGGGATGACGACACCGCCACATGAAAATAACACATGAAAAGACTACATGAAATGACCACATGCAAAGGCGTCAGATGCCGCTTTTTTACGGATGGAGAGGAAAATTGAGATCCACCAATTTCAGTATATGGGCAAAGGTGAAAACCCAATTTCTGCATCAATGTTGCCCTGTTTTCCACACCTCGTGTTCCCAACTCACTGTGGTGTACAGCACAGTTGAAACAATTCTCTTCAAGTCAGGACTTGATCATGATACATATAGCTATCATTGCACAATCATGGTCTGAGAACTCAGTCACTGGGCCGGCCTGACTCATTATGTTGGAAATGGTGCAGTACATTTCACTGAACTTTACACAGGACTGATTCAACGGTTCTATACTTCATTGTTGAGTAATGCATGCGTAGAACTTACAGTGGTGAAGTGGATAGGAAAATTCCACAGCTGCCATCAGCAGCGTGATGCTCAGCATGGCCTGATACATTCAACAGGAAAGAACAGAAAACAGATTTTAAAACTATCCCTGTCTCTGTGCAGAAGTATTCGATTATAGGAATGGGTATCAAATCATCAAGGTTAGCATAACACATACCTAACCAGTCATGTGTTCATTATCCACAGAGAAAATAATTCATTTTTTTTTTTTCGCATAGAATCCCATGCAAACTGAAGTTCTCTTTGAGACCTGAGCAAGCCCATAGATCAAGTTGTGTTGCAAGATAGTGTGAAGTAGACATTTGCACACAAGTAAACTAACACTAGCATACAGGGAGCACACATGCTGTATTGAGCACATTCAACTTTACCAGCATCATCTTGCCGAGCAGCAGTGGACTGACTGGCTTGATCAGAGTGTGACTGGCTGTTCGAAGGAACGCTCTCCGCGGAGTCTGATTGAACAGTCGAGGAAATAGCTCTGGCAGAGACCGGCTGGACGGCTTGCACCCTACGCTTCCGGAATATGTCCGGGAAATCGGTGGTCAGCTGCAGTGTGGAGAGTAACAAATATACAAACAAGCAATAAACATGGCTCTGATATCAACATCAGCTAGTGTCAATATCATCCACACCACTGAGAGTGAAATCAATGAGAGGTACACAGCCGAGAATACATTGTGCATTGGGTAATGGTAGGTGACAGATGTTTTGTTGAGTAAAATGATAGAACAACTTGCATACATCAACAGAGACACATAGGCAGAGAGGGGGAGAAGTAGAGAGAGACTGAGAGAGAGGAGAGAGAGAGAGGGGGGGGGCAGAGAGAGAGAGAGAGAAAGAGAGAGAGAGAGAGAGAGAGAGAGAGAGGGAGAGGGAGAGAGAGACTGAGAGAGAGGGGCGTGCGCAACAGGCCATCACACTCACCAGTTCTTCATGCTGCCGTAGCACCTTGCAGATCTTTGCAAAGCGCTGGGCGTTCGGTGATTTCACTAGCAGCTGGTGAAGCTTGGTCGAGGTGTGATGGTAGTCGGTAACTGCCCAGCTGTGGACCGATGCTGCTGCAGCGTGTAGATGATTACTGTGCTCACGTGATGAAGATGATGATGTAAGGCCCAGGCAGGTGTCTAGCGCAGGCAGGTCGGACTCACCAAGGCTTTCTCGGATGGACTCAAAGGACTGTGCAGAGAGCAGTGAGGCATGGTTGACCGGCCATTCGAGAAGAAGCGAGGCACGATCAACGTAACGTTGGCTAGTGGAGAGATGAACCTTTGTTGCTACGGATGATCGGACTTCCTCTGCATCGTACACAGCGAAATCAAACTTGTCGCTTGGCTCGTGGAGGTGCTGACGAATGGAAGCAGAGCTGATGATGCTTGTGGAATAGCTAGTACCCGGGCTATACTGTGCTGCCAGGTCACCAAACACCTTGCGCAACAGAGCCAGCAGACAATAGCCGTCTAGCGTATCTTCTACGGGCGCATGGACAACAGCGACAGCTTGGCGCAGGCTGTCCGTGACGGAGATGCAACCACGGGCTGTAGAATGGACTGGAGCCACTACCACCAGATTCTTCCAGAGCTCAGCAGGAATGCCGTGAAGCTCGTGGAAATAGGCGTACAGCTCTGTCTGTAGCCGGATAACAAGAGCAGTGGAGAAGCAGTGCTGAGTCGTGAAAGAGACTCCTGCGCACGCCGACCGAGATGATGAATCTTTCTTGGCCAGTGAGCCGAGGCAGTTGTCAGCGGTCGGAAGACGGCTAGGTGCCAGGATCCTTTCTTTCTCCTGCAGCAACACACCTAGTTGTATTACCATCTGCAGCAGCAGAGGGCCTTGGCGATCTGCTCCCTCGCAGCTGTTAAGCTTGTCAAGGACTTCCTGGACCTTTGCAACACCATCTTTGAAGTGGAGCATAACTTCATCGTCAAGCCCAGGTGGTGCAAATATCAGACCAATGACCGTGGAGAGCAACCAGTTGGGTCGGTTAACAATGATGTCGTCCAGCTCAGGTGATGAGAAAGAAACAATCTAGAAACAAAAACACGACATGCAAACCCATACACACAGCAACAAACATAATTGTAAGCCGACGCACGATATATGCCAAAACATGGATACACACACATTCCACACGCATGCGCAGACAGGATATTAAAAAGGCCAAATACCTCCAAAATAATACAAAACAAAGCAAGTCACCCAGGCAATCCTCGACGCGTCATGACAGCACACTTTGCCAGACCCCACATTGAGTGGCAATGAGAAACTGTTAAATTAAATGAACCCTCCTAAGTTTTAAAGAAATGGAAGTAAGGGAAACGGGTACAGATGCCCTGGCTTGAGTTGCGCGGAAATCAGTGTCGTATCCTCTCATGGACACAGATACAACCCTCTGGTGCCAGCCAAAGCAGGACTATGCCGCACACCTTCAAAGAAACTCACTGTTGAAGATCAATCCACAAAGGTGTAAAGCACAATGCACCCGTTGTCAATGATTTCTTTTTCAGCCTAAAGCCAGCAATCTGTTGGTGATGTCCCCTGTCAAGCCCCAGCTAAGCAATTTGTGCACAGCAACACACTAAATCTTTCCCACAATTTTTACTTCACCTTGAAGTTTCCAGCAGCCTTACACTTACTAGTATCGGTGTATAGCTGGTCTAGCACAAATTAATAGATCATAAACTACAGCTAATTGCAGGATGGGCATCGTAATGTTCTAGATATGGGCTGTAAAAGAAGTAGGAACAAATCAAACCGGTTGCATCTTTCCCTCAAACCAACGAATAAGAACAAATCTAGTTTAGGGGTCGTTGCAAACGTTTTTTGTTGTCCCTGAGACAAGCATCATTCGTTGGAGGGGTGGAGGGGGGGGGGGGGGGCAAAAATCGCAAGTCGACCAACACTACAGTCAATTCCTCGGAAACTGTCTCGCTGGCTTTTGAAAGCTCGATCTGGGCTGAATTGAGGATCAAAAACCCACTTTAAATCTCAAAAATCTCATTCTGGGTTTGGGATTTGCTTCTCCACATATTTTGCCATGGCATACCGGTGCAAATTTTATAAACCTGGCTGAATGTCTACTATGTGAGGGAGACACCAAAAAGGTAGGGTGGCAGTTTCCAATAAATCGGGAAAAAAAATCACAAGTCGACCGATACTTTACATATGTACATGACTACATATACATGCATGCAATTTTCATCATCCAGCATAGCAAGCTGTGTTTGTTTCATAGGGACTGGAGGGTGTGCGAGTAAGAAATGAGCGATGTTCATTTCAGGGACGATAAAACACTTTTGCGACGATCCCTTAGAAATGTATATGACGTAGATGACATACATCATAACATGAAATACATCTACTGCAAGTAAATTGAAATTACTCTATCTGCAGAGTATGTACATACCAGACCATACGCATTGAGGATCTTGCGATATCGACGGATTTGTGCGGTGTTGATGCTATCTTCATCGTCATCATACTCTACGTTGCTAGCAGCACAAAGCTGTCGAGAGAACTGCCGACTTGTTGAGAATGGCTCACGGATGTTGTCGTGCAGTTGTGCCAGTACTTCCTCTGCCTGCCCGAGCACTTTGGGTTGCTTGCAAGATTTCTGAACATGAACATCAACACAGTGGGTTAATTAATTTTAACCCTAGAACAGCCAATGGTGTCATTTGACACCGCGCGAGTCAAACTTATGGAATTACCGAAATATGGCTAATCAGAATAAGCTCAAATCTTGTAACTATTCCTAATTTTGCTTCCTCTTTCGTCTGCCATAAACCTTTGATTTGTAATTGATGAGGTACCATAATGGCGAGTACGTGTACATATACCTAGAACGGCCAACCAGTGTCATTTGACACCTGCACTATAAAAAGCCATTATTGCAGTTAGATGGAAACAATATGAACACATTTCGAAGGTGTCGGCCATATCGAGTTGCTTGTATGCCAACCAGACAAAAGAAAGGTACATGTGCAGGAAAATTGCTGAATACAGGACAAAATATATGATCAACATCCAACCGTCGGGCGAGAATCGCGAATTTGTGGCGGGTAACCATTAGTGCACAGATTAAACAAACACTCCTCAGCTAATGTCCTTGATACTGCTCATTCCCTTTCATTTTCCTGTAAATTGCCCCAGAGGAGCCATCGCGGTCTGACGGCCAAGGAAATACTAGAACGGATGTAGCCTATTACCATGCATGAATCCGATGATCATGAAAGCGAAATTTCCTACTTTATCTTCATTTGATGGCTGTTCAAGTGTAGTGACCATTGGCAATGGTGAATCTGGTCTGTCATTGAGGGTGAATCGTACGGTCACACACCTGAGTACCTGTGGATTCAGAATGTATTGATGTTTACGAGCCTCCAGAGAGCGGACGAAGATTGTGGGATAGTCCAGACAAGGAATTGTCAGAAACAGTTGCAGGAGTGGTGGAGACCCCGAAATGGATAGTGTTGAGGAAGAGGAATTGCAACTCTGCAACCTGGAGATGGTACACCGCATTATCGCAAGGATGGTGCTGTGCAGATAATCCTTCTAACAACTTGACGAGCTAATAAGGCTCTTGAACCAAACCTCTTCCTCCCCCTCTTCAGGCTAAACGGTAGGCAGCCGCTGGGATGCCTTCTCTCTCTTTAGAGGCCCCGGCTGCTGCAGAAGGTGATTGCTAAGTAAGAACTAATAATTTCATCATCATCATTACTGGTCAAGAAACTGTTGGAGAAGAAAGAGTTGCAGTATGAACCACTTTGGTAAATTGAAGTGAACTACCATCTAACCTCATTGCCAATAATAGCGGATTGAATTTTGTTTTTCAAGATTACATTGTAGGATGCAAAGACGGTAGACGTAGAAGGTAGAAGTAGCAAGAATTATCAATGGTCCGCCTAGTGTAGACCACCTAGAGCCATATGTTTTACATGGTGAGCGTAGGAAGCCCCACATCGTCCAATTCTAGCAAAAGACGAGATGTAACAGATTCACTGTTACTACTAACACTAGGAATAGGATACACTTATCACCTGCTATTATCACGCTGCTGCTGTTAGGTGTTATGTCCATCATTGCTTGTTCATGTATATAAGAATGCATTATGGCAAGGATCATTGCTTATTCCAAGAATGACTACTGAAGTTAGTTGGACTGTTACACTGGTAGCAAGAGGATGGTTTTTCTTTTCGTCGTGTTCGGGCTATGCGCAGTGGCCGCATTAGTCCCCTACGGTATATTCGAGATTCAGAAGCGTCTGAATCACCTTATCGCACTCGGTCAGTGCGATGGATCAGATCAAACGCCAAGACGTGCTCAAGCTCCCAGCGGAGAGAGGCCACGCATGCGCCATGTTAAGTCTCCGCCTGTGTTTCGTGGAGATACAAGAGAGTTCAAGGAGTGGGCCTTCGCCATCGAACTCGCCATGAAGTCCCTGCAGCTGGACAACGCGGAGAAGCGCTTGAGCTACGCGGCGAGTTTTCTGGAGGGCAACGCTCGTCTTTGGTTTATCGCCTCTCAGGAGCCAAACACGCTGTTTTCCGACTGGCCAGACCTGAAGAGCAAGCTGGGAGAAGTGTACGGCCCGGTTTATGACAGGGAACAGGCGCGCATCGACTTATTCGCTCTTCACCAAGATGAGACTCTTGACGAATACACCAACAAATTTTCGCGGCTGAGCTTACAAGTTCCCGAGCTTGATGACCACTCCAGAGCTATCTTGTTCACGAGTGGGCTGGCTCAGGGCCTAAGCGGCGAGGTACTTAGGGAGCATCCGCAACATTTGGCCCAAGCCATACGAGCTGCGGTCTCAGCAGACCAGTCGATGCGGCTAGCCCAAGCAAGCTACGCCAAGGCAGTGCGCGCACCAGGGCATCAGAGGCGCCAGCCTGGACCCTGGTCAAGCCAACCAACACCATCCGGTGGGAGAGAAACCAGGGAGCCAGAGGGTCGTTCAAGGCTGTGTTTCACCTGCAGGAAACCCGGCCATATTGCCAGATTCTGTCCAGAAGGAGGGAGGAACGCCACAAGCAAGCCTTCTTTAAACGATGGACGCCAGTAAGGAAGGGAGTGCGACTACTGGCGAACACGAGAGCACCCAGGAATAGGCCACGAATCAAAGTTCAGAACAAATTCAGCCTCTTAGCAAATGAGGAACCACGCCTCGAGGAGACCAAAATTCAAGCCTCGCCTGTCAAGCATTCGTCACCTGATACTGTTGGCCGGCCTAATGAAGTAACCGCCAGCACAGGGAGCATTTCCGCCGACAACGAACACGACCTAATGCGCGTCCAGGGCAAGATAAATGGACGTCGCGTTACCATACGTCCTGAACGTCACACTTGCTGATGGATCGGTCCGCTCACAGCCTATTACGAAAACGGACAGCTTGAAGACCGTAGTCGGCGACTTTAGCGAGCACCAACAGTTCCTAGTATTCCCGATGACGCGGTATGACGTGATCCTCGGCAAACCATAGCTGACCCGGACGAACCCACAGATCAATTTTCGTACCAATGAAATCAAGCTGGAGGGTGGATCCATCATTTGTCAACCGAGTGAAAGTGATGGCACGGACAAATCCAACCCACCGATCGAGACGTTCCTCATCTCAGGGAAGCAGGCTAGGCATGCAATGAGAGGTGGCGCAGAAGGAATCCTAGCGTATGTGACAGCAGATCCGGACGAGCCACAGACGGTGGATAGTCCGGGTAGGGAGGATCAGAAGGATTTCAAGGACCTGCTGAAGGAGTTCGGGGACGTCTTTCCCGATGAGCTTCCAAACAAGCTGCCACCCAGAAGAGGCGCAGATCACGAGATAAAAACGGAAGAAGGAGCTAAACCGCCATCTCGTGCAGCATATCGTTTACCAAAACCAGAGATGGATGAGCTTCAAGCTCAGCTCACCGACCAGCTCCGTAGAGGATTCATCCAGCCCAGCAAATCCCCATACGGAGCCCCTGTGTTCTTCGTAAAGAAAGCGGATGGAGCACTTCGAATGGTATGCGACTGGCGTGAGCTAAACCGCATAACCATTAAGAACAAGGCATGCCTACCGAATATTGACGACCTCTTTGATACCGTCCAAGGCAGTGCGTATTTCACCAAGCTAGATCTGAGGTCCGGTTACAATCAGATTCGAATAGAAGAAACAGATATTCCGAAGACAGCAATAAATACCCCATTCGGTCACTTTCAGTTCACAGTGATGGGTTTCGGCCTAACAAATGCCCCGGCAACATTCCAAACCTTGATGAACAGTGTCCTCCAGCCATACCTGCGTAAATTCGTTGTGGTGTTTCTAGACGATATCCTCATATTCAGCAAATCATGGGAGGAGCACCTCGATCATGTCAGAACCATCTTAAACGCCCTCAGGAGGAATGAGCTATATTGCAAACCGTCTAAATGTGAATTCGGCCGGACAGACGTTCTGTTTCTTGGGCACCGGATAGACGGCCAATGCATTTCTCCAGATCCAGAGAAGATCAAGGCCGTGCATAACTGGCCTGTCCCGACGACGGTCACGCACGTAAGACAGTTTCTGGGATTCGCTAATTACTTTCGAAGGTTCATTAACCATTTCTCGGCCATCTCCAAACCCCTGGAGGAACTGACAGGGAAACATGTGCGCTTTGAGTGGAATCAGACTCGACAGGAGGCATTTGAGCGATTGAAGTCTGCTCTGCTGGATGCACCAGTGTTGCGACTAGCAAACGTCAGTCAGGATTTCCGCGTTGAGACTGACGCAAGTGACTTTGCTGTGGCAGGAGTCTTAACGCAGCAAGCAGAGGACCAGTCCTGGCATCCTGTGGCTTACGTGAGCCGAAAGCTGTCTTCTGCCGAACGGAATTACACGGCCGCCGAGCGAGAAACTTTGGCTGTAGTGTACGCCCTGCAGTGCTGGCGAGTCTACCTATTTCGCCACTTTCAACTCTACACCGACAACATGGGAGTTGTCTACCTCAGGACCAAACCAAACTTAACCAAGAGAGAGGCTCGATGGATTGAATTCCTGGCCGACTATGACTACACGGTACATCACAAGCCAGGGAAGTGTAACATAGCAGACCCGTTGTCACGTCGACCAGACTTGGAACTGAATGGAATCGAGTTCTCTCTGGATGTGAATCAAGGAATTGCGAATCAGATCTCAGCAGGGTATGATAGTGACCCAGAGCTTTCGCCAGTAATCAAGCGCTTGATGGCTTGCAGCGAAGACGCCATGCATGAGCGATACGTCTGGAACAGTGTGGACCGGCGGCTGTACCTAGTAACATCGGGCGATGCTCGCCTCTGCATTCCTCGCAGTCCGGTACGGCTGCAACTGCTCAAACAGAATCATGATTGCCTGATGGCCGCGTAGAGGCACTACGTGAGGCCCAGGATGCCATCGTGGCGGCGCAGGCCCGGCAATCATTGTATGCGGATCGAGGACGGGTGGAGGACGCCCTGAAGGAGGGGGATGAGGTGTTGGTCTTCAGGGACTTCCTGCTGACGCCCGAGGAACGAGACAGGCCTTCACACAAATTAAGGCTCAAGTGGTATGGGCCGTTCAAGGTGCAGAAGAAAGTGGCCCCGAATGCGTACAGATTAGCTCTTCCAAGA